ATATCGCAGTGTGACAAAATGTTTTTTTTTTATTTCATACACGGAAAAAGTAGAAATCAAGTGAGTAAAATTATACCTCTTTAGTACATGATTTTTTCTACTTAGGTCGAACAATGATTACAATCCAATAATGTAAATAACATCAGAAAATAGTTGTCAGTAGCAGCTGTTGTTTCGCAATTTGCTGATGGCAACATTAGGATAGAGCGAGTGCACGCTCCCCACCCCTTGTCAGAGGTCTCCCCCTTGCGGCGGGCCTTTGGAATTTGGCGGTGCGCCTTGCACTCAGCGGAGGTTCAACAAACCTACGTCACCTCAGGCTGTATATCCCACGGCACTCTCCTGACGTTTAGATTGTTGTTCTTGTCGTAAAGTTTGCCGTCAAAGGCTTTTGTGTTACGCAAACACGTCACTCACACTTCGTGTAATCATCGCATTACGACGCGTCAAGTAAAATGTGCGCCTCGACTGACGTTTATTATGTACAAACGATGCGACAGGTTTATTACGGAGTTTTTGTCGACTTATTTATGTTTAAGTAGGGAAGTACATTAGCATTGCATTGTTTTTTGACATATCATATTAGCTGTTGCTGGCATCGTCCGTGAGAACTTAAAAAAAACACATATCACAGATAAATTGCGTTTTCAATGATGAAAGAATTTTTAAAATCGGCTCAGTACTTTTTGAGTTATTTTAATACATACAAAATTACAAAAACACAATTATTAGTATAGAGCATAGAAGTCTAGATGTGTATAAATATGAATGATTTCAATTTGAGAAATACATATAAATGTCAGGTTTTCTTCATTACATTAAAAATGCGTCTAAATAGGTGGACATGATGTGTCAAACTTAAATATTTCACTGGGCAGAAAAAGCTATAAGACGTTTTTGTAATGTGCCAAGTAAAATTACTATTGGAGGAAACATCTTAATTCGATTTTAACAAAGAACAGTGCCTCGTGACTAATTAGCAATCGTATTTGTTCAAATATTTGTATGACTTTCCGGAGTTAAATTTTTATATTGTATGACTAAACGTGACAAGTTTGCGCTGGCAACCCGTGTTTTTATTAAGAATATAGAAGATATTCTTAATCATTTTATGTTCTTAACACTTATCAAATCGTATATTTCTACTAAATTCAAAGCTACTTAGATTTTTCTGATAGAAAAAGCGGGCAAACGTGCAGCGGATCGCTTGATATTACTTGATCCGACGCCCATAAACGCAACGACAAGGGAATTGCAGATGCGCTGCCGGCCATTAAGGGAGGAGTAGGCTCTTTTCTTGAAGGCCCCCAAGTCGTAACTATTTGGAAACTTAGATAAGAAATGAAAACATAAGGCATTAGAAAATAGAATATATATTTGTTTAACATAAACGTAACTGTTATAAATGTGTGGAACGAACCAAACGATACCATTTTATATTCAAAACTACATTTGGTTGTTTCCGTTCGCGTTAATTGGACCTATTTAATGCGGCATCCCACAATATGTATATTAAGCAATTTCGGGATGATTAAATTCGGGTAACTCGTTAAATATTAAAAAAAATACCCAAACATATGATATGTAATGAGAGGTCCAATTTGACTATCCGAACCGTCGGTCAACTAAATGTGTGTTTGCACCGTTGATATAACCTTGGCAGCGATGGCAACAACAACAAAAAAACACCTGTACATCTTACTATATCATTTTTTGTAGAGTACATATATTACTATTTTATTTTAGAAAATTAGATATATCAAAAAGCTGCATTTATAATTTATCATCGCCATGGTCTTATTCTACTCATGTGGGGTTGGCCCACAAGGTTGAAAAATGTTTGATTTGTTTTGATTTAAATTTTATAGCTGGCCACCTGTCTGTCGTCAATCCTATTTGGGAGTAAAGTATACACTTTATATTTATATACGTATATGCAAAAAGTGATCATATTTACTTAACTAATTATAGTCGATGACATAATGTCGATCGGCCTCTACTTATTTTGTAAGCGAGAATTTAATATTTAAACTTTATATCTGTGCAAAGATGTGTTTCAAAGTTAATATAATTTGAAATTGTTAGAGGTGATATTGAAGGCGTTGGAGGTGCTCATATCGTCTCAGCTATCTATTATAACATTATGATTTATAGCTCAATTGGCGCGACTCCCTCCACCCCACACCTCTACCCGCACAACGTAGCTCGGCGGCTAATTTCACATGAATTTTGTTACAAGTTCTTGCAGTCACACAAAGGAATTTAAGGTATGCTCCCACATAAAGGAAATAAGCTTTGATACACGCTATTTTACGCATTACACTAACAAGCTTGAATATTCCTCCAGTCACAAATATGTACCTTAAATTGTTAGTAAGTGTTAAAGTTAATTTAATGTTTATTTACTTCATTTAGTGACAGGGATCGATAGTGAATGAAACAATAAAATTGTTCACGATGTAGACATACTTATTTCGTTAAGGACAATCTTATTTACTGCTGTAACCTAATAAAAGTAAAATAAAAAGAATAAGTGTATGACTTCGCTTATAGCTATTGGAGATGTCAATTATCACGCAAATTCAATATTCATTTTCATTCACTATTTAGCACTACACTGATGGATGAAATAAACTGTAATGTTATATTTACTGTAACATTTTAAGATCAAAACGAACACTGAAGAAATCTTTTTTGCTTTAAAATACGCGATGTAACATGCGCCGTATGCAAACAACGTGCGCATTTTTGTACAAAATTAATTCCGCTACAGGGATATTTCGGTTTGCACTGGATGTAATATCCTGTTTGTGAAATACAAACAAAACTACTAAAAAAGAAATACACAATTATATTAAAAATAATGTGATTTAACTTACTTTCTACGGTTTAGTTATATTTTTAAACGTTACAAAATTAATAATGACAAATAAGAAAAATATTTTTTACTTTTGAATGGTGCATTTCATGCTGGGCCACCACAGTTGCGGATGAAAGGAGATTGCATGTGGCTGAGATGCGTATGTTAAGATGGATGTGTGGTGTGACAAGATTGGATAAAGTTAAGAATGTGTACATTAGAGGAAGTTTGAAAGTAGCGCCAGTGGTGGAGAAATTGAGAAGCAAAAGGTTAGCGTGGTATAGACATGTTATGCGACGAAATGATGGGGACATAAACCAGAAAGTGTTGAGATTGAATGTGGATGGCTACAAAGGAAGAGGAAGACCGAAAAAAGTATGGATAGATTGTGTGAAAGAAGATTTGCTTAAGAAAGGAGTGGATTCAGATATGACGGCTGATAGAGATGTATGGAACAGCAGCACATACTGTGCCGACCCTCCGTAAGGGATAAGGGCAAGTGGATAATGATGATGATGAATGGTTCATTTAGATTAATTTAGTTACAGTCCTTAACCTAAGTGAAGTGAATAAATATGATTGCAAGCGAATTTTGGCAGCTCTCAACATTCGCTCTTCATTTCCAATACTTTGTAAAAGGTAAAGCATCGAATGGAGGCGCGCTGATGGAATTACGTAGCGGAGTACAAATCGCGAAACATTCCAATCTCTCCGGTTAATTGAATCCTACAGGCCTTCATTAGAGAGGGCGAAGAGCGAATCGAACACAAAAGAACTTTTATATAGGAAAGGGGAATGTCGGAGTTCGAACAAAAACCGCAAATGGCATTCGGGAGGTTGCTTCGATAGAATAATTACGTGCCTCCCATGGAGTATGCTACGAGTTGCCTTTCACACTTACTACCACATGAATCCTGACGATCAAATTGGCATTGACTTGAACACCAAACGTGTTACTAAAGCACTTAATAAATACAGCCTTAACAGACTTTGTAAATATACATATCGATCTAAATTTTTATTCATAATTTACATTTTACTGTAAATTTTATAATCTTAGGTTTTTATAAGTTACTAGTGCCAATCTAAAAGATTTCGACTGAGCGCCATCAATATAATTCCATGAAATATCGATAGTTAAGCTAAACCAACTCTTATACCAATGGAATAAGAGTGAAATAAGAAAATATCTGATTCGATATCCGATTGAAGTTTAACAAAGAGTTATTTTCAAGGAAATTGTGAAGTCTGCATCGAATTGTAAGTTGGAGCGGGTGGCAGTCGCCTTAGTTGTGAGAATCACAAGTATTTCCAATATGAGCACCGACAGACGATAGAGGGCGTGGCGGGCACTATCGATGTTAGTTGGCCATTGCGATCTATGGTAATGCAATCTGACTTAAAGCGAAAGTTTTGCAAAATTCAATGATCAAAACATGCGAGTAGATATTGAAATACATTATGTATTGCACGGGTGTTTAAATTTAATTTAGCTGTTTGATATATTGAAATATGTAGTTACATATTTTTTAGGAATCTTCACAGTGGTAGCAAGAGATTGTAAGTGTGTAATTTCTCTTTGCATTAGTCCTTTAATAGTTTAAATTAGTCACTTTTTTAAATCTTATTTCTGATGGAAATTATTTATTCGAAATGAAACTAAACGATATTTAAAACAATTTCCTCAAGGAGTGTGAAATTATGTTAACAATCCAATGAACCGATGCGCGAGGGATTTCAAGTCCCCAATTTATAGTCAAGAGACGTTTATACTTTACCTAAGTAGATTATTCATTGAATTGGAATAAAAAGATATTCATACAATGAACGAGACATTTTAAATGGAATAAGCAACAAGACGTTACAATTTTATCCTTGTTTTATTTTTCAAAAGAGTAAGCGAGATGACACTGTGTTTATCAAGGTGTTTCAGTGGAAAGTGGTTAGTAATTTTATTCATTTTGTCATGTCGCATTGGAGCCGAGACACTCGTGGCGAGTGTTGCCCCGCGCCGGACGAGGGCACTGTTGACTACTAGTTGACCTGTTGTCGCCTTCTTTTAGACGTGTATAAATAGATATTCTCATCTTTAGAATATTTTTAAGTTTGATTAATAAAAACTCGGACAATTTTTACTTACCATTACAGCGTTAATCTTGAAGTCCAAATGGTTCTTGACCTCAGCGGCCAGCTCGCGTACCAGCAGTAGCCCATCTTTGCGCACCACCTCCACGTTGGACTCGTGGTATTTCTGCATAACATTACAATTTGACATTCAGGATAGGCTTTTACAGATGAAATAAGTATTATCATGACCCTTAAAGTAGGGAGATAGTATGAATTGTAGAATTTTTGAAAGCGTTTATTTTCCCGTTTCTAGATATAAAATCAATAAAAGTCATTATAATAATTTCAGGCTAACATGAAATAAGATAACTGGCAACATGAAGCGCGCATAATTCGCAAAAATAGCTTTAATTGTGAATCGCACCGGTGTAACGTGCAGTGAGCCACGGGATATGTATATTTGATGTGGGACTGATGTCTCTATCAATAGCTGTCCTATTTTTTGTCTTTTTATGATCATCGTCTTCTAAATGTTATTTACAAATTGCAATATAGCTGGATACTTCACCAATTTCAAGGGTGACTTTTCTACATGTTATAACTGTTGCAAGTTTTCATTATTAAGCAACGATTTTATGTCAGTGTTATAGGCTAATTCGTCAAACTACAATTGTGTGAAGAATAACAGCATTAAATATGGAAAAAATATTACATTCCTACATACATCGGCCGTAGTTTTGTAGAAAATTTGTATTAGGAAATGTTCGTAATGTTATTTACTTCATACTACTTCTAATATACTAGTTTAGTGGCTGTCGTATCGATCCTATGCTATCCTCGTGACACCGTTAGTTGGAAACTTGTTTGGTCCCAAAATGGCGGCGCGGGAAAGCGGGCGCGCCAGACGCTTGTCAAATTTAAAAATGGAACGTAACCGCACCGAATTCAACGTACACTGGCAGGAAAATAATTTTGTATTCGGAGCTAGCTTCGGGGACCTTTGTTATTGAATTTTGGTTTGTAACCCCTTATTGTGGTTTTACGGCCTTGACAATTCCTCATTGGTCGGTTACATTGCAAAAATGATTAGGTACCTTGTTTAGTATTCTATACGCTTCTATGCGTATCCTTCTATATAGTTAAATAAAATAATATTCCAAACGAGAATTACTAAAACATTGCTTAAGGAAGCCCTAATAATATTTTTCTTATAGTCCAATGTCTTTTTGCAAAAATGGAAATTTTCTGCTCTAGCAGTTTGTATTATTGGCAGAATTGTTCGTATGGGACAGTGATATTTCAATTAAAAAAGGTATCAGTTGGACACGGATAGCGATGATTGCATAACACCGTCCCGCAGCCGCAGGCCGCAAGCCGGGACGCGGCGTGCCGTGGCGAGGGGCACGCGCCGCCGCCCAGCTACGAATCTAAATTCAATTAAGCCAGTTAATTTAAACCGCTTTGTATGTCAACACTACACTCGCGCTTTATGATTAAACATTGTGTTTTGATTATATTACTTAATTTTATCATTATGCATGTAGATCGAACAACATCGTTGTGTGGCATGAGGCATTAAAATTAAACCTTTTTTGTACATTTATGTGTTTAACTAATGTTGTTCAACGGTTGTTTTTTTTTTATATCGATGATAACTGTTAATATTAACGATAAAAATGCTTATTGTTTTTAATTAACACGAAAATAGATAATTTGATTTATATATGACAAGTAGTTGGTAGTTTTCCTTTGCCGGACGGAATTCCCCGAGCCCGCGCCCGTCCCAGCCCGCCGTAGTGCGTGATCACAAGGAAATTCCATTTGCCCGCAAAAAACATTTACGGAAAAGGGTAGAAAGGAGACTCGCCCTCCTCCGATACACTACGACCTAATACATTTATATTGGCATAACGTTTGCTCCGTATCAATTTAATTACATCAAATAAATGTCTTTTAGTAATGCAACCTATTGAACCTTTTTGCGGAATAAGATTGGATTTCGAATAGCAAAAACATATTTAAACGATCCAATTCAAGCAGCATTTTTATTTATTTTTAAATTAGGTTATTTTCTACATTCGTTTTAATCTTGTTACCAAAAACATAGCCACCATGATATTGTAAACAAATAATTATACCCTTACCCTACATTTCCACCTATCATCTAGAAGCTTTAGTGACGCAGCATTCACTGTATTAGCCTCCAGTTCCACTACGATGCTCGAACGTTCCACGATGACGTTGCTTGATTAGAAATAGCTAAATAACTGTTTATTTAAAAACTAATAACCCCGAGTTATTGTATCAGAATGACTGATACGTCGGCAAAAAAAATAACACGTAACACTTGTTTACTGTTTAGGAAGCTTTATGCTATACCAAGAACAAGGTACATATAAATAGACAGGAAAAAGCTTTCCCTTTGTGTTAAGTTAAGCTACTTAAAGTTAACTAGTAATCACTAATTCATTAATTCCCTTTGAAAGCTCTTTTCACTTCTACCTTTCGAATCATTTCACAGTTATTACAATAACTGTCGGAGAAAGCGTAGTTCTAGAGTTTTAAATATTTTGCGTAGATTAATTAAATGGGGCGTATTAAGAGTGACGGCCGATGGAAGTTTGTGAAGTCAGCGAACCGGCTACGAATTCCAAATTGATCGACTATAGTTACTATTAAACTTAAGGAATTAAATTCATATTGATATAATTCTCGTGAACTAGCTATAGCTTGTAATCATTTCTACCCTATAAATGGACTAACATTGTTTTTAGAGGTGGTTGTTAAGACTCAATTCTTAAAATGTTTAATTAATAAGCTTCCTAAATACAATTTTTAAGTGTCAATATAAAACAAATAGTAAAGACCGATAAATAAGTTAATTAACACCTTTCAAGGTCCAAGAGTTTCAAAATGACGGCTTAAAGTCTGTTTGCATTGTCCGCGGCCGGACGCGCGTCGCGGCGCTACAAGCCCGCCCCGATACAGTTTAACCCAATTTCATTCTCTTCTGTTCTCAAGGCTTCAACGGTTTAGGTCACAGTCTTTGTGCTCAAGTGGAACAAGGCTGATGTTTTGATATATCATGACCAACTTTATAAATAAAAAAAATTGATCTTAAGTTTAATTTTTTTTAATTTTTATGTGAACTGCCAGTCTGCCAATAAAATCTCATTGCTACAACTTACGTTAGTTATATGTTTGTGCTATTTCTGTGCCCATCTTACTGTGCTTTAAATTGAAATTTATATTTTTACCTCAAAAGGTATTCTCAACATCTTAGCAGAGGCCGAGGTCAATTTGTAGAGTTGACCTCGAACACTCGCTCGAGAGCCGAGCTTGCTGCCAACTGATGCACGACAAGTATTTCTCGAATAAACCAACATTTGCACTCTAAACACACAAAATCATATGAAATTATAAGACAAAAGCATCACGTGTACCTATATTTTTTTTTTTAGACCAGAAGCATCGATTCGATAGGACATTTATAAAATTGCATCAAAGTCTATTTAGTGGTTTAAGAATGTGTAAAATTTGATTATTATTTTTTTAATATGTGAAGAATATAATTAAATTTAAGTCATAGAGAGTTGTCCTCTTATCGCCAGTAACTTTACTTACATTTTTAACATGCACTATTTTAAGTTAAAATTTAATTTCAAAATAACGTTCATAAATTTCTTAGTAAAAACGCCGTAATCCGATTATCCCCAATCTAATAATCAGCAATGTCAATACAATGAATTTCCAATACCGAAGTAAATTCACAAAAACGTCTAGTCGACATTTCTTACGCGTTGATATTAAATAAAGGGTAGCGTAGCACCCCTGTTCCGCCACCCTGCATATTATGTATTCCGAACTAAAGATCAAGTACATTTGAATATATTTACTTTGTAACTCGCAGAAATAATACTATTTATTTCTCTTATATTGTTATGTTAAAAAAAATCGATTACGTTAGTCCGTTGAGACGTTAGAAAAACGTCTATGGACAAAGCCATTTTAATAAAAAAAATTAGAGTTCGACCTCTAATTTTTTTACATTTGAAGTGACAGAAATATGTACATTACTACATAGTTCTGTCACTTCAATATATGACATTAATTTGATTTATTCTTATATTCATAGTCAATATTAATTTCGAAGTATGAAGGAAGCTTATTTTTCCATTATTCTGTTTTTACATTGGTTAATCTGCGCTCGCTAATCCGCCGCACGCCGCGAGATGGCGCTCTCCGCCGCCATCTTACATTAATTAAAATAACGAATGTTAGCTCGAAAACGGCTTACGTTAACTTCGTCGCTATAACTTATTAAATATTTTTCGTGCTGCAAACGTTTTTATGTTACAAAATAATAACGCGTTAAACGCAATTAGTTTTGTAAAACAGTATTTATTTTATTTTATACGTAGTTTTGCGAATAAGTATTTAATTTGAGTCGGTGCTTAGAATTGAGGCAAGAAATAGTTAATGCATTTATTTAGAACGTAAATACAACCATTTAAATGAAATTATAATTTTAGAATTTACTTAAATACACATTAGTATAAATAAATACATATAGCAGAAAACATAAATTTATACACATTTGTAAAAGCAATATTTTCTTTGACAAACAAAAATATTTATTACAAACGACATTCATATATTGACTTAGAAAAAAGGATTATCTACCCCTGACTCAAAGGGTTGTTGCGATTCTTAAAATGTCGAGGAAACAGCTCGAGTTATTTACACACGTTCGATATAAATATTTCGACGTAGAACATATTACGGTATCTTACAATAAACTAACTTTGGATAACATTAATAAATTCGTATTATGTACTAGCTGTGGCCCGCGACTTAGTCCACGCAATGTTAGGATAAAAAAGAAGCATATAACATGCCCGTCTATGTCAGCTACCCTTCAGTGAAAGTCCGGTCGAAATCTGCCCAGCCGTTTCGAAGGTTGCCCGGAACAAACGCGGCTTGCAACAGTCAGACCGACAGACAGACAGACAAAAAAAAATTAAAAGCGATTTTCGTTATCAGCAACGCAAATACATCGTCTTCCCGAAATCTGGAATTGTTATTTTGATATTATAAACAGACACTCCAATTTTTTTATATGTATAGATCAGCAGTATAGTCAAAACAAAGAACTACATGAGTAACAGTTAAAATATAATTCCACATTAAAAGCATTTTATTGAAGAAAATGTTTACAAGATTTGATTTTAATCACATAATGATACTCGTAAAAACAAATATTAAATGTTATAAAAATTTTATTTGAATATATCTTTAGATATAGATTATGTGTTCAATAAAAGTATTTGAGCAACAGAACAATGGTACAACACTTTCGTTCATTACATAATACTGCAGTTGTTTACCAGGTAGTGCATTATGTAGACTTACGAAGGTCAAACCTGTCTAAAATGTTTAACCCCGAACAATCAAACTATATCGGTTAATGTGTGTATCACTACTAGCTTTCGCCCGCGACTCCGTCCGCGTGGAATATAAAAACACAAAGTGTGTTATGTCTTCTCCCAGACTATCCTCTACATCTATACCTAATTTTATCGAAATCCATTCAACCGTTGAGGCTACTAACTCTAACAAATATCCATCCATCCATCTATCTGAACTTTTGCATTTGTAATAATATGAAGTATGATTATTGAATATTTTTTATAAACCAAAAGTGAATACGTACTTAAATTGAAATAAGCAAAATGTACATACTTAGCTATTTACATAGACAATATACATATGTAAGAATTTTCTCTATTTACATGTTATTTAAATTATTACTACAAAATATGGTATTTAGTAGAACTTGGAAAAGTTTTGTATAACGCTCAGAGTTTTACTTGAGAATACATGAATATTTACTTGACGCATACACAGTTGCTTCTAAAAAGTAATATTTGTATACTAAAATAAGTAATATCATAATTTAGAAATGTTAAAACATATTGATTATTTTTTTTCATTGAATGGTATATGTAATAAGTGGTTTATATAAATTTATGATTTCTTCCTTTAATAGAAACTTCAAGTAAGCTAAATCTCGCATATCTTCGTAATGATCTTCTTCCAAATTTATTCAATTCAAATATTAATGTTGACTTAGATTATTTCTGTTCTTTCGCAATCCTATAATCATGTACTAAATTATGAACACGACAACCGCAATAAAGGCTGTTAATTATCCTATTGGTGTGTACAGGGTATGGTAAGTCCCGCGTACATTTGATACGAGTCAGTGTAGGGGGTAGGGGGTGGGGGGAAGAGGGAGGGACAACTCCCCTTCGGAATTAGGTCGCGGGAGGATGAAAGGGAGCAACTCTCTGTGCGTTTTTATATCGTATCCATCCAACGAAAGCGCCGGTTGCTCTAAACTAAGGCTACTATATCCTACTTATCGTAATTTCGATATAAAATATATCGTTACTTACATTCTGTATTTGGTTCATCTTTGTGAAATGTCTGCCGAACTCCCATAAGTCCACGCCGAATTTTAAAGCCCAATTCTTGACTCTGTAACAAATAATTTTTAATCATTATCAAAGTACGTTGAAGGAAAACATCACGATGCAACCACATATCGGTGAAGAAATTCAAAGATATGTGAGAAGTCAACCCACCCGTACTTGGCCAGCGTAGTTGACTATACCCTGGTCACCCCTTACTTAGGGTAGACTCCGAGCCCCTCAGTGGGGACATATAATGATCTGTTGATGATGATTATCAAAATTTACTTAATCATAACACTTTAATACTTGTAAATATTCATTATTTCACAGAATATATGTCGTATTTTTACTAAAATTCATCCTTCGATCATTTTAGATACTCATAATAAAAAAAATCATTTTATTACCGAACGGGTTCGTAATTAAATTGATATACTCGTGCAGCTAGACCCGAATCCATTGTAAAGGGAAACATTTTATACCCTAAGGACTAACATTGTTAGAAAACGGGATTTAAACATCTATCCGACTTGAAGGACCATAAACATCAAAACATTATTAAGAATTGATAGGAATTTGGTTTAGCCAGCACACAAAAATGATTAAATAA